GAAGCGTTATCTGAACAAGACCCCGTTTTGCCATGTCTTGATTCTTTTAATAGACTGCTAGATTCAGTTTGCCAATTTTTTTTTTTCTTTTTGGCTCAGGGATTACTCTTGGCTCTGCATCAAGAATTACCATGATGGTGCTATTAGGGATCGTATGGGATGCTGGGGATTGAACCCAGGTCCACCATGTGCAAGGCAAATTCCCTACCCCTTGTACTATCATTCCGGCCCCAATCAGTTTGCTAAGATGTTTGTTTAGAATTTTTTTTTTTGTTTTCTGGGTCACATCCGGCGATGCACAGGGGTTATTCCTGGCTCATGCACTCAGTTAGGAATTACTCCTGGCGGTGCTCGGGGGACCATATAGAATGCTGGGAATCGAACCCGGGTCGTCTGCATGCAAGGCAAACACCCTACCTGCTGTGCTATCGCTTCAGCCTCTGTTTAGAATTTTTGTGCCTTTACTCATGTGTGATGCCGGCCTGTAATTTTCTTCTCCTGACCCAGGTTCAATTCCTCCACCCCTCTTGGAGAGCCCTGCAAGCTACCAAGAATATCTCGGCCGCACAGCAAAGCCCGGCAAGCTACCCGTGATGTATTCAATATGCCAAAAATCATAACAACAAGTCTCACAGTTTGTTGTGAGGCATTGCTAGTGCCCGCTCGAGCAAATCAATAAGCAACGGAGGACAGTGCTACAGTGCTACAGATCTTGTCATACAAAGAATTAAGAGGAGGGGATGGGGTCAGAGTGATAATATATTGAGTAGGGCGTTTGCCTTGCATGCTGCTGATTTGGGTTCGATTCCCAGCACCCTATATGGTCCCCTGCGCCCTGCCAGGAATGATCCCTGAGCACAAGCCAGGAGTAAGCTCTGAGCATCACTGGACGTGCCCCCAAAAAATAATCAGGAGGGGATGGAGAGACAGTATAGTGGATAAGGTGCTTGCCTTGCATGCAACTGATGAAGATTAAATTCCTGACACCACATATAGTCCCCCAAGCACTGCCAGGAATGATCCGTGAGGACAGAGCCGAGTGAGCCCCGAGTACCACTGGGTATGAAGCACCCCCCTCAAAAAAAAAAAAGAACTGCAAAAAAGAATAAAAAGAACTGAAAACTATTTCCTTTTTTCCTCATATGTGGGATAAGACTAGAATTACACCTTCTTAATTTTATTTGGCTTTGAGGTAACACCTAGGGGTCCCTGGGGACTCTTCTGCTCAGTGCTCACTCCCAGGGCTTTCCAGCCCTTGCAACCAGCTCCCCTGCATCCCAGCACCCATATTTAAATAGGTCTGTGAAGCCGCCCACAGGTTCTACAAGACTGGGAATATGGCTGGGGGTGAATTCAGACCCCTTAACGGCGAGGGGATTGTTTTCTTGCTCTTGATCAACTTCAGTGATTTTTTTTTTTTTTTTTGCTTTTTGGGTCACACCCAGCGATGCTCAGGGGTAACTCCTGGCTCTGCACTCAGGAATTACTCCTGGTGGTGCTCAAGGGACCATATGGGATGCCAGGAATCGAACCCGGGTCAGCCACGTGCCAGGCAAATGTCCTCCCCACTGTGCTATCCCTTCAGCCTTCAGTGATTCTTTGTTCCAAAAGTGTTTTCATGGAAATAGTTTGTCTCTCATGATCCTATTCCATTATTTTCTACTGTGACCTCTCCCCTATTCTTCCTTCTGTTTTCTTTGGTTTAGTTTACTCTTCTTTGTTTTCAGTTCTTGAATGAATGCTGAATTATTCTTCGACCATTTTACCTTACCACAAACACTCAAATATCATTAGCCTCCGTTTAAATCAAGCTTTAGCTGAATCCTGAAGTGTATTTTCCTTGTCATTCAAAACATTGCATGATTTGACAATGATATAGTAGACATCTAAAAAATTTAAAAGTTTAATTATGATTTTTTTCCCCTAAGCCATCATCTACTTAGAAACTCACTTCTTAACTTCCAATCACACAGAGCTTTTGAAGTTGTCTTTTGGTGATTGTTCTGTGATTTCTCACCCCTTCCCCCGGCTGTTTCAGTCTATGTGACTTCAGGCTTTTGAAATTTCTTGAGATTTCCTGTTTTGGTCAAAATTCCATGTCTCCAAAAGGTAAGTATTCTGCAGCTGCGGGCAGAGAGCTCCGTAAACATCCATTAGTCACGTTTCTTAATCATATCCTTTTTAAATACATTTCTGTTGTTTTAATTTTATTTATATACTTTATTATCTTTTGTTGTTTTTTTTTTTTGAGTCACCCGTCTGTGCTCAGGGTTTTCTCCTAGCTCTGTGCTCCAGGATCACTCCTGGCCGCACTGGGGGTTCATACGTGATGCCAGGTATTGAAGTCCGGTCAGTTAGTGCCAGGCAAGTGCTTAACCTGCTGTATCATCTCCCTGGCCCCACGGGAAGTGTGTTTTTAAACCTCCTGTTATAGGGTAGACATTTACACTACAGAAAATAAGATTACTTAAAATTAAAAAAAAAATTTCCCAGTCTAATTATAGACTTTTTAAATTTTTCTCTGTAGTTTTCCCCATGCATATTATATTTGAAGATATATGTATATTTCAAACACCAATTTGAAACTGTTGAATTTTCCTAGTGATCTGCATGATTTTCACTTTGAAAGAAGCTTTTTTTTTTGGCAGAGTAGGAGTCACACCTGGCAGTACTCAGAGTTTACTAACCCTGCTCTGTGCTCAGAGATCACTCCTGGTGGGCTCAAGCAACCAGAGGGAGTGAGTGCCAGGGATCAAATCCAGGTCAGCCATGTTCAAGACATGTGCCCTACCTGCTATCTGGTCTCATAAAATAAACTTTGTTTTGGTTTTGTTTTGTCTTGGGGCCACATCTCCTGTGCTCAGGGCTTACTCCTAGCTCTGTACTCAGGGATCAATCCTGGCAGGCTGGGAGGAGGTGTGGGGGAGCGGTGTGGGGGGGTATAGGGTACTGTGGTGGTTGTGATGGTGGTTTATCACGAAGTAGCACCTTCTTTTTCAGGGTTTTGCAGCTGCACCCGGCAGTGCTCAGGGCTCACTCCTGGCGGTGCAGGGATTAAATCAAGGTTTGCCACCGGCAAGGCAAGCACCTAGTCCGCTGTACTATTTTTCTGCTCCCACCTTTGTTCTAATATTAAAATAACTGCATCCGCCTCCTTTGTTAGCCTTTGCAGTTCACTTTTCCTGAGGTTATTTTCAACCGTCTAGTACCTTAGCGGGTTTCAAAGTGTCGGTTGCCAATGTTTCTTGTTAATTTCTTAGGGTTGGATTTTATCCTCTGATCCTCTTTGTATGTCAAAACTACACTTAGTGCATTTGAATCTGTATTTATAATCCTTTTGCTTCATCTATCTTGTATGTATTTCTTCTTTCTTTGCTTGCTTTAAGATTGATTGAGTTCATTTTCTCATTCTATTTCCCCCACTCTCCTAACTTGAATAAATATTATACTCTGCCGGTCCATTCTCTTACTGTTTACCCTTCTAATGTCAACTTCCATTCTTAGCTCACCAAAGTTCAAGCGTATCTTTGGGTACCTACCTGCACTTTCCTACGGAAGAATATAAGGATCTCAGACCACTTTTACTCCACTCACCCCTTCTATTTCCTAGTTGTTGTTTTAATTCTATTTTTATCCAGAAGACACCGCTATTGTTTTATAGTTATCAATGTTCTTCATTGTTCTTTCTTCCCTAACGCATCAGACGCCGTCTATGATATCTTCCTCTGTCCTCAAGTTCCTCTGCTGGAATTTCCTTTAGGGAGGAAAAATCTGGTTTTCTATTTGTAAATGCCATTATTTCACCCTCGTCCTGGAAAGATATTTCTCACGGATGTTACATGATTCTTGAATGAAAATGTCACTGGGTAGATAACTGTAAATCTACCAGTTGGTCGTTTTCTCTCAGGGCGCTGGATGTGTATCTTCTGATAAAAAAGAAAACAGATGTATCTATTTTTTTTCTTCTTTTTTTTGTAGATCAGAACAGCGGTGTCTGGACTTTACCTCAAAGGGACAAGGAAACTATGCACGGCTTGCAAGTATTGAGGTGACCCAGTGCCTTTTAGATTTTTTTTTTCCCTTTTTGGCCACATCCGGTGTCCTCAGGGCTTTCTCTGTGCTAATCAATCCGTAGGTGGTGCTGGGGATCGAACCAGGATCAGCAGCGTGTAAGACGACTGCCCTACCCGCTGTCGATCTCTCAGCCCAGGAGTGCCTTTTAGAAAGCGCTTTTGAGCACAGTGCCGCGGACGCTGGCTCCAAGGAAATGACAGTTTCAAGGGAGACAGAACCTGGGCGGAGGCGGGAGGGGAGAGGTGGGGCGGGCAGGGTCGCGGTCAGTGGCCAGGCCCAAACCGGAGGAACGGGGGCCGCGTGTTGAACTCCAAACCCATCCATTCTGCAAACCGCTGCACACCCGCTGTGCCTTCCAGAACCACCCGTTTTACAAAAGCTTGAAGGGACACGGGCACAAACACAAACACGCACGGAGGGTGGGACGCGCCAGCCGGGGCGGGGGGAGGGGGAATCCCCGAGGTAGTGACCCCCCACGCCAGACCCAAGGACTGAACAGAATTGCCGGTTCTTGGCTGGAGGAGGCGCCTGCTCAGCGTTGCTCGGGGTGTGTGTGTGTGGGGGGGGGACCCAAAGGGACAGACGCGTCGGGTCAGGGGCGCGCGGACAGGTGTGGGGAGCCCGGATCAGGCCCTGCCCACCCACCCGCCGGCCAGCATCCCCAGCGTCCGCGCGCCCCCCAGTGGACGCCTTCCAGGGCGCTGCGGGGTCCTCCTCGGCCCAAGCTGGGCCGCGCCGTTTCCTGCCCCTCCCCGGAGTCGCACCGGAGGGGAATTTTCGGAAACGCGCCTGGATGGATGGGAAAGATGCCCGCGCCCGCGCGCCAAATAAGTCCCGCGGGCGGGCACGCGCGCAGGGGGCGGGGCCTCGCGGGGGCGGGGCTTCCGCGGGAGCCGGCCGAGCCCCCGCCCCGCCCCGCGCGCGCGCTCGCCCGCCGGCTCGCGCCGAGGAAAACGTTGCGCAGGTTCAAATATGGAACGTCGGCGGCGTGAGGGAGCGCGAGGGGGTGTGCGCGCGTGCGCGTGCGCGTGCGCGCCCGGCCGAGGGTGACGGGGACCCCGCCGCCGGCCCGAGCATCGCGCGCCGCAGCCGCGACCCCGCAGCTCCGCCCCCGGCCCGGCCCGGCCCGGCCCGGCCCCGGGCCCGCTCGCCCGCCGCCCCGCATGGAGCTGTCAGCTATCGGCGAGCAGGTGTTCGCCGTGGAGAGCATCCGGAAGAAGCGCGTGCGGAAGGTGAGGCTGCCCGGGGGCGGGTCCCGGGACCCCTCGGGGTGTGGGGGGGCCCTTCGGGTCCCCGGCACCTCCCCGCCCCCCCACTGGGGGAGAGCGGCAAAGTCGAGCGGGGTCGGGGTCGCGGGGCTGGGGGGTCCCGATCATCCCGCGCTGCCTCGGGCCCGTCTCCCCGGCCGCTGCCTCAGTTTCCCCCGCCTCCTGGTAGGGGCGAGTGGGAGAAAAGTTATCGCCCCGGGATGCTTGAGGGGTGCGAGAGCCCGTCAGGCCTGGAGCTTAGGGGTGGGCTGCGGGGACCCCCCTCCCAACCCGATCGCCGTCCTTCCTCCGCCTTCCCTTGCTTAGTCGGAGTGCGGGGAGGCGGGGGGGGGTGCCAGGCGGAGGAGGTGCGGGCTCCTTGCTGCGTGGCCCTGCGCGTCCGAGCTGGGTCTCGAACTCGGGAGTCGGGACGCTTGGTACCAAGTCCTTTAAAGTTGGAGGCGGAGCTTTGCAGCGCCGGCCGCCCGCCGCGGAAGCATTCCCGCTGGATTTTTTTGACCTTTCCCCGCTGCACCCCCACCCCCGTGTCTCCCTCTCTCTCTCTCTCTCTCCCCCACTTCCAGCGCACACCCCCCCTTACCCCCCCACCGCAGCACCCTGCCCCGCCCCAGCCGGCGCCGCGAAGCCGCCTACAGCGCCCGGGCATCCTCGATCCTCCTCCCCCTCCCCTGCGCTGGGCAAACAGGCGTCCTGCCGTGCACGGAGGCGCGGTCCTGCCGGCTCCAGCCCCGCGCACCCCGGGGGCCGCGCACGCGTCGGGGGCGCACGTTCGCGGCCGAGTGGGCTCGCCCCGGTCCGGAGTCTTGGGGTGGGGGAAAGGAAGTCCTTCGGGGAAAGTTCCTCCAGAACCTCCTTCACCCGGATCTCCGCTCCGCAGCCCCTTCCCCAAGGTCCCCGGAGTGGGGCTGGGGGACACCTTCGAGGTCCCCCTCCTCTCCTTCCCACCCACCCCCGGGAGAACCCCGGCCAGGGAAGTGACCTGCTCAAGGTCACACAGCCAGTTGGCAGTGGAGGTAGCGCAGGAGCCCGTGCTTGGCCGGTGTCCAGCTCATCTTTGAGACGAAACTCAGCCCTGGCCGCAGATGCCCAAGGGAATGGCAGGCCCGGCCGGAGCTCACCCCTCCACGCAGCCTCCTGCGCCGCTGCCCCTTGCCCCAGGGTGGGCTCCGGGTTATTTTCCTCCTTCGGGCCCCGAGCTGCCCCTGCAAGTGGAGCTTGTTGGTGGCGTCGGAGCTGGCGGTGACTAGCCGCTTTCCCAAAGCGGAGGGGCGTTAGGTAAGTCGCTTGCCTTGGGCGCCGCGTTCGTTCCTGATCCATCCACCCCGCGCCGTGCTCAGCCCACACAGGCCTTTCCTGCCTCTCGGAGCTGGCTCTCTGGCAGAGCAGCCGCGAGTGAGGAAATAACACGTGGGTTCCTTCCAAGGAGGGGGGTGGCCCCCGCACCCTGCAGGGAGAACAGTCCTGGTCTTCAGTTGCCTTGTGGAGCTGATTCACTCCCGAGACCAGGGTGGCCTGGAACTTGTGACGGCAGGAAGGCAGGAGCCTGGCTGATTGCTGACAAAGAGACTGTGCTGTCCCCCTTGGCAGCCCTCTCTGCGGTCCTGCCAGCATCCTTCAAGTTGGGACTCCTCTAGTCACTGACTATCCCCTCAAAGGCAGGAACTCTCAGCGGGGAGGGGACAGCAGGTGTAGAGGGAGGGAGGCTGTGGGGATACCCCAGGAGGAGCTTGGGAGGAGTCGACGCATCTTCTGATCTGAAGAGCAAAGAGTCTTCTTCTTTGCTCTGGAACTTGGGCACTGGATGCCTGGCTGTCCACACGTCCACATGGCCTCAGTTTCCCCATTGGGGCATAAGAGCCGAGCCCCAAAGGGTGGGGGAGCCAGATGCCTTTCTGCATTCCGGGTGGGTGGGGGCTTCTGCCAGTGGCCAGGCAGCAGCCCAGGTGTGAGGGTCCCTGGCGTGGGGGGAGGCCTGGCTGCGAGGTCCCCGGCCGCACTGGGGTCCATCCCTGCTGGGAGGGTCGACTGTCTCATGCACTTTTTTTCTCTCTCCCCAGGGTAAAGTCGAGTACCTGGTGAAGTGGAAAGGATGGCCGCCAAAGTAAGGCTCATGTTCGTGTGTCTGTCTGTCTGTCCGTCCGTCCTCTGCCCTGCTGCCCTCCTCATCCGAGGCCAGCGACCACCACAAAACCCGCCTCTGGGTGCCGTTCTCCGCTGCCCGCCGAGGGGTTTGGAGCCCCTGAGGTCAAGGTCGGCCCAGCTGCTCACCGTAGCAGCCCCCCCACTTCTGTCCGAGGCTCCCGTGCTCCCCGGATATGGCCGGACCCACCCCCCACCTCCAGCTGCAGCGAGGATTGGGGTGTGTGGCGCCAGGCATGACAGGTTTAGCCAGTGGAGCCCGAATCTGGGGTGCCGGGATACTCAGACAGCCTGGGGCCACCTTACCTTTGGTCAGCCCAGGAGGAGACCGTTGCCGACATGGCAAGCGGAGGCAGAAGAACGGGGACGCCCCCTTTCCCAGGGAGCTCCTCGGTGCCACCTGCGGCGGTCCCGTTTGGGGGGCGGGCAGCGGGGCCGGGGACCTCTCCCAGGTGCTCCACCTCTTCTCCCGACACCCAATCAGGAAGCGAGCCACCAGCCAATCAGCTCCCAGCAGGGGCCTCAGGGAGGGCGGGAGCGCCTGGGGCTTCCCCATTGGCCTGCGGGGGCCCCGCCCCCTGGCCAGGATGTCCCGGGACTGGCCTCCAGGACCCCTCGGCCCAGACGGCCTGTTTCTCTCCAAGGGGCGTCTGCTGGGGCTGGCCGGGTGCTGGGACCCGGGAGCACGCGGAGAACGGGGTCGGGGCTAGGGAGAACCCAGGCGCGCGCTCAGCCTCCGCATCTCGCCTTGCCAAACTGGTTCTGTAGTCCTGGCCAGCTCTCCCTTCCTCGTGTGGGGTGCAGGGGCTGGGCACCCCACGGGCCTCCCGGTGATTGGACCTGGTAGCTGGCCAGCCTGGAGATACCCGTGTTTACCCCTGCTGACCTCCGGACGCCCCAAGGCCGGAAGCGGAACCTGGGCACCGGACTGGCAGCCTGGGGGAAGGGCAGCGAGGGGAACAGCGCAGGGGGGCTGCGAGGGGACTGACGCCCCGGGTGCGACCCCCTCTTGGCTGCTGAAGGTGTCCCAGGGCGTGGGCCCCGCTGGGGCTGCGTGGCGTGGATCTGTGGGCCCAGAGAACGGCACTGCTCGCTATTTCCGCTGCCCCCCCCGCCTGCCCCAGCCAGCCCCCCGGAGTCAGAGAGGCCTCGTTCACCCGCTGGCACCTCTGCTTCCCCTCACTTGGATCTTGGAGCCCCGGCTTGCCTGCCCAGTTGACCACCGTGAGCTCCTCACATGGTGGGGGCTCTGCCCCGCCCACAGGAAAATGAGTGACGTTGCCCCCACGCCGCGTGGGTGGCCCGGGGGTAGGGCCAGAGAGGACCTTAGCCCCCTCTTGTTTCAAGTGGGGACATGGAGGCTTGGAACGGGAAGAGCCACGTGAGAATACAGCTGCCTCCTCCATGCCGCCCACCATGTCCCTGTGAGAGGCAGATCAGCCCCACTTCACATGGGGGTGGGGGTGGAGGGAGAAGTAGGAAGGGCTGGGACTCTTCTCGCCCATCCCATCGGGCTGCATTTCCCCATCTGGGAGGGTGGGCAGCCTGGGGTGCCCTTCAGCCCAGGAAGCTCTACTAACGGGACGGAAAGAACAGCTGCCCTGGAGCACAGCGGGTAGGGCCTTTGCCTTGCACGTGGCCGACCCAGGTTTGATTCCCAGCAACCTATATGGTCCCCCCCAAGCACCACCAGGAGTGAATCCTGAGTGCATGAACCAGGAGTAACTCCTGTGCATCACCGGGTGTGACCCCCCCCAAAAAAAAAATCCAGTTGCCCTGACTGGGCCTCTGATCAGTACACACTTTCTCCAGCACCCCCTTGTCTCTTGGAAGGTTCTTGAAATGGCTTGAAATGAGGTGGAGGGAGGGGGTACGAACCATCAGCTACAAATGTTTTTTTTGTTTGGGGATACATCTGGCGATGTTCAGGGGTTATTCCAGGCTCTGCACTCAGGAACCACTCCTGGCCATGCTAGGAGACCAGATGGGATGCTGGGAATCCAACCTCGGTTGCCATCAGATATGAATGTGATACTCTGAGTTGCAGCGGCCCTCAGGTAGCCCCTCATCACAGCTGCTGCCCAGGGCCGCCTGACCCCCTGGGGGAACCTCTTTCCTTCCTTTCTTGCTTATGAAGTCCATCTGTCTGTCAGGGAGGGTGGCACACCATGGAGCCTCAGTGACCACCGCTGGGCATCCCACCAGCAGTTCTTTGCTTTCGGGCAGCCAGTTGTCCTCCTGGACTGGGAAGGGCAGCAGATACCTGTCAGTGAGAAGCCCTTGTCCAGAGATCCAGAGCTCGGTGACCCGAACTGCTGCCAGCCAGGGCCAGGGCATGGGAAGTCAATAACCATGTTAGGTAACGGTCACCCCGGAAGAGCTTCTATGCCAGACTCATGCCCTCCCATGCCAGGATCACGGCTGGTTGTGCTGGGGAGGAAGCTATTCTTCCCCCCTTCATCTGGGGGCTGAAAAATAATTAAATTGGCACCGGAGTGATTAGCAAGAGAAAGGGAAATTTTAATTACTTGTGCGTGGGGGAGGGGAGCAGAGGCTAGGAATTTAAACCTTGTAGTCATTCCTGTGAGGTTCTGCCATCCAGAAAGGGACAATACACGTAGGAGGGAAACCCCACAAAGAACTTTGCAATTAAAAGAAAAAGGAATTTTGCAGGGTGCATCTACATATGCATGGAAAGTACTTTGCAAAGCCCCAGGTGGGGGTGGGGGTGGTGGCCGGGTAGGCTGTAAAAGCTGTCTCCCACCTCCTGGGCCCAGCACACTTCCTGTTTGGGGGAGGGTAGAGAATCCTGCAAAAAACATTCTGGGAGCTTTTCTCCTAATCAGCACGCCGCCGGGCGCGTCTTGTGGTTGTCTTTGTTCCCAGCTGTGGGACGCGCCGCCGGGTATTCGCCGAACCGAGGTTCTGCAGTCCTGTCAACTGTTGGAGCCTGAGCAGAGCCGGCGGCCTCCCTGCGCCGCCGTTTCCCATGAGGCCCCAGCCCCACTGGCCCCGCTGTTGGCCACCCAGGATCAGAGAAGGGTCCAAAGCTAGAGCCCGGGACAGACTTCCGGCTTGGGTAGTGGCCGCAGAGCCCGGGGGCTGGGCCCTCGCAACTTCTTCCCCTTCTCAGGGTCTAGAAATGAGAGTCATCGACGCCCCCGGGTTTGTTCTCTGTGCCACGCAGCTTTCTTGCTTTCCTGGTCCCAGCAGCTCAGCGTCACCCTTCCCAGCGAGGAAGACGGTGGGGAACCAGTAGATGATCCCACCTCTCTGGGGGGTTAGCGGACCCCGGCGGTGGGGGGAGTCACCCGGAGGCTGCACTTGCAGCAGAGCCACGTTTTTGCGTCTCTAAGTGGGAGCGCGGTGCACGCGGGCACGCGCGGGGTCAGCGGGCTGCCAACGCGGGAGCCCGGCTGTTTACCAGGGCGCGGGGGGCGGGGCGGTCGGTCACGTGGCCGTGTTTACCTCGCGCCGGCCCCGCCCCCGCCCCCCATTGGCTGGCCCGGGCTGCTGCGCGTGCGCCTCCGCCTCCTGCGTGCGCGTGCACGCGCGCCGGCCGCGGGGCGAGGCGGGGCCGCCGGCGCCGCAGACCCCGCCCCCCGGAAGTCCCGGGGTTTCCCGGCCCGTGGGGGTCAGGGGGCGCCCCGCCCAGTGCCCTGCCGGCGACCGACCCGCAGTGGCCGCTGGCTCCCAGCTCTGCGCGGGGGCGCCGGTGGCCTCCACCTCAGGGGGACGGGAGGGACAGGGAGTCTGAGTCACTTATGCAATGCTCCCAGCTCGCCCCTCCGAGCAAATGATGCTACCAAGACTGGCGCCCTTTTGTGGCTCAGTCCCTGTGGTCCAAGGCCAGTGCCAGGGTGACCTGCATCATCGTGGTGGCCAGTACGGGATTAGAAAGTAGACGTTGGAGCCGGAGCGATAGTACAGCGGGTAGGGCGTTTGCCTTGCACGTGGGCCGATCTGGGTTCAATTCCTGGCATCCCATATGGTCCCCAAGCACCACCAGGCATAATTCCCGAGCTCAGCCACGAGTAACCCCTGAGCATGGCTGGGTGTGACACCCCACACACACACGCAAAAAAAAAATAGATGTTGATACAACTCTTCCCCACCCCACCCCCATTTCAATCATACACTTTACCTTGTTGGCTCAGTGACCTCACAACCTCACAAGATGCTTGCCTCCCAGTACCTCAGTTTCCTCATCTGTGAAACGGGATGCTCTTGAAGGATGTTTGCGTCCACCGCCGTGGTTAGAATACAGGTTCGGAGAGGAATTTTCAGGACCCCCCCGGCCCCTTTGTAACCCCCTCCCCTACCTGCTTACCTCGCTGAGTTCTGAGCAGCCTGGGACAGAATCCCAGATCATCGCTTTGCTTGTGTTTGTACATTCCCTTGAACACACACACATGTGCTTAGGTATTTGTGTGTCTGTAGGACAGCATGTGTCTGTAGATATTTATGCATCTGTAGGATATTATGTCTTTGTAATTAGGTGTGGAGAGACGCATATTAACGCTTTAAAACCAAAGGGTTTCTGCATCAGCCTCTGTGGCTAGTAAATGCTGGTGTTTCATTTACGGAGGTCATAAACCTTGCTTTTAAAACAGAGTGTGGGTGTGGTGTGTAGGAGATCAATCTCCCCCCCCCCCCCCAGCCTCACACCTGTGAAGCAGGTTCCAGAGCCCCGCACACTTTGCATGCATCCCAGGGCCGGGACCTCCAGCACCATGCAGTTTCCTGAGCACAGTGCAGGGAGCGACCCCAAGCACTGAGCCAGGAATAGATACCCCCTCACTCTCCGTGGCCCCCCAAAAAGCTGCTTTAATCTGGAGAAGAGCTTTTTTTTTAAATTTTTGTTTTGTTTTGTTTTTTTGCTTTTTGGGTCACACCCGGCGATGCACAGGGATTACTCCTGGCTCTACACTCAGGAGTTACTCCTGGCAGTGCTCAGGGGACCATATGGGATCCTGGAAATCGAACCCGGGTCGGCCGCGTGCAAGGCAAATGCCTACCCGCTGTGCTATCTCTCCAGCCCCGAGAAGAGCTTGTTTTGGAAGGCAGGGACTAAGTCAAGGCCCGTGCACCTGGGCCGAGGGGCTCGCCAACCTGTCCCCTGCTGTATGCCAGGCCCAGAGGCAGGAGCGTGCGAGGCCTGGGTGCCCCAGTGTGTGCCCAGGAGGCATGGTGCCCTTCACAAAGCAGAAAGAACTCCCCCTGACAGCGGTGTGCCCGGACCCGCAAGCACCTGTGGTCACATGGGTCCGGAGCCAGCACTGGAGTGCAGGGGGTCAGACCTCACCAGGCCTCACTCGGGATACCCAACCCCCCGCCGGGTTCTTGCCTCTGACAAGAGGAGAAGCTGGCATGTGCCCGCCCTGCCCTGGCTGAGGCACCTTGTGCTCAGTGGTGCCCTTGAAGAGGCTGGGTGGCTGCGGATGGAGGGTATGACCCCTGCTCAGTGTGGGAGTTCTGCATCTGCGGGGGCCAAGGCCTGCAGAAGGGGCTCAGAGGGCAGCGCAGGTGCTGAGACCCCTCCGCCCCCGTCTCTCCCCAGGTACAGCACGTGGGAGCCGGAAGAGCACATCCTAGACCCTCGCCTGGTCCTGGCCTACGAGGAGAAGTAAGGGCCCCAGGTCACGGGCATGGGGGCGGGGGCACAGCAGTGGGCAGCGAGGCCCGTGCTGGTGAGGCCGGCCACTCCCCTGGTGCCCGGGCCTGGTTCTGAAAGCTCTGCTGGGCAGTGGCACCAGGGAGAAGGTGGCCCTTGAGGCCCAGGGCACGCTCTGGGGGTTCTGAAGGTTGGTCATGATGATGGGCAGTGGACAAGGTAGAACTTGGGGGACCCCGGTTTCCTCGCTGGCCCTGTCGTGGGACCTGGTGCCCATGTCTGCTGTGACAGCGGGGGCCTGGTGGGGAGCCTGTCCTCTCCTGGGGCCTCAGGGGTGCGTCTGCAAGTCATGTGGAGGCTGCCAGAGCCCTGTGGGTCGTGGGGACCCATGGTGGCACCTCCCATTGGCAGAGCGAGGATCAGGCCTCCGCCTCCTTGCCATAGGGAGGGGTCCTGAGAGCCAGGGGGCTGCTCTGAGGTGTGGGGGCCCAGCCCCGGGCTGCAGAGGGCTGGTTGGACACCTCGTTTCTGCCTAATTGTCACCAGTGTCCCCTTTTCTTCTGCATCTGCTGTGCACCCAGGGAAGAAAAAGACCGAGCGTCGGGGTACCGGAAGAGAGGCCCGAAGCCCAAGCGCGTCCTGCTGCAGGTAACAGGCCGGCTTCGGGGGTACCCCCCACCCACACCCACACCCCGCTCTCTTCCCTGCCTGCCTCGCAAGAAGCTCCCCTGGAACACTGCGGGGGGGCCCCTGGTTCTGAAAGCTCAGAATCTCGTGAATTAGACAGAGGAGGACGATGCGCAAACCCCCCCCCCCAGACGCGTCTGTACCATGAAAACCCCCTGGAGACCCGAAGGGGAGAACTGGGGCGGGGGCGGGGGCGGGGCGTGGGGTGTGGACGCGCCTGGGAGCTCAGAATCCAAGGAGCGAGTTGGGACTCTGGACCCAGCCCCAGGGGCCCCTACCTACAGGTCCTGCTTCCTGCTGCTGTTCAGGGTGAACTCTGGGCTCGTTGACCCCCCCCCCCCCCCCCGAGTTGCTTCATCCCAGGGGGCACTCGGCTGCCATGGCTGTCGGCACTGAGAAGGGGTGGCAGGCCCTGAGGTTTGCAGCTGCTCTCCTGCCGTGCTGAGTGTCACTCTTGTCCCCGGTACGTGCCGGCTGAGGGGGCCCGTCCCCAGGGTCACTGAGGCACAGCCAGTGTCTGAAGACACGATGCTGAGTTGGGGGGGAGGGGTGCCCACGGCCTCCCGCACCTTCTCCAGATCCTGGGCAGGGCCCTTCCCGTGGGTGTGGGTGCAGAGTCCCTGGTGGGTGAGGGGCCCCGGCCTCGGCTCCCCTCCACGAGGCTGGGTCTCGGCCTTTGGAGGGCCGAGGGGCACCCACTAGGTTCCCCAGGTCGTGGCCAGAGTGGCGTCCAGAGCTGATGGTCCGGGTCCCTGTCCCCATTAGTAGCCAGGAAGGCCCAGTGGCCCCCAGACGCGACCACTTGCCTCAGCTGCCTGCACTTGGGGTTCCGGCACTGCAATATTGGGCCCCCCAAGCCCCCCGGGACTCGAGTGGGGAGCGTGGGGTCATTAGCACTGGGGTCCGGGCTGGCCCCGCATCCCTGAACATCATTTCCGGTCAGTGCATCTGATTCCCCAAGAGGCAACAAGATTCTCCCCCAAGGCACAGTTCAGCCTGGACCACACGCAGTGGGGCTCAGGGGCCCCACTGTCTCTGCGCTTGGCGGGGACCCCCCTAGTACAGCTCAGGGGAGCAGAGGCCGGAGCCCGCACCCCGAGGTGCTGAGCGCTTCTTGCCATATTCCAGCCAAGTGCGCTGGACTTGGGCAGAGCGGGCGAGGCTGTGTTGGGGTGCCCCTAGCTGTGGGGGTTGGACTTTGGCCCTCAGGGAGGTGTTGGGGGTGCTGGGTAGCCTCTGGGGGCCAGTGACCCCAGGGCACAGCCTTGTCTCACGGTGGGTGCTGGGGGTCCTGTTGAAGCAGAGACCCCGACACGCTCCGCCCGCAGCTGGGTCACCCCCATCCTTGCCTAGCCTGGTCCATTTTCTCTCTTTTTTTTTCCCCCCCACACCCAGCAGGGCCCAGAGCATCCTTCTGGGGTGGGCTGGGAGGGCAACGGGTGGCTGCAACCCAGGTGGGCTGCGTGCCCGCAAGCGCCCGCAAGGAACCCGGGCCGGTCAGTTTTCAGTTTTCAGCGCGTGTCCCCAGCGGGCCGGCGGCCAGGCCAGGCGCGGGGCGGGCGTTGGCGGTGGCGGCGGGGGGCGCCGGGAAGCGGTGGCGGGCAGGCGGCCAGCGGCGGGCAGCCGGGCTGACCCCCGCCCCGGCTTGCCCCCGCAGCGGCTGTACAGTATGGACCTGCGCAGCTCCCGCAAGGCCGCGGGCCCGGAGAAGCTCTGCTTCTCCCTCACGCGCCCGCTCGGCAGCGGGAGCCCCGAGGGGGTGGTCCAGGCGGGGGCGGCGGCGGCGCCCGAGCTGGCGGCGGACAAGGGCCCCCTGGTGCCCGCCCTGCCCTTCCCGCTGCGCACCAACAAGCCGCGCAAGGCCCACAAGTACCTGCGGCTGTCACGCAAGAAGTTCGCGCGGCGCGCGCCCGCCCCGGAGTGTCACAGCCATCCACCGCAGCTCTTCCTGCAGGAGCCCCCGGCGCCGGACGGCCTGCAGGCGGCCAGCGAGTGGGAGCCTGCCGCGCAGCCCCCCGCGGATGAGGGTAAGGGGCACCCCTACCCCCACCGCCCCCGCCCCGGCCAGCGCGGTCCCCGGGAAGCGGGGTGGCAGGGAGTGCATGCGCCCCTCCCCCGCGCCCACCGCCCCCCTGTCTCCCGGGCCGCAGCCGAAGACGCAGACCTGGCCGAGGGGCCCCCTCCCTGGACACCCGCGCTCCCCCCGAGTGAGGTGACCGTCACCGACATCACCGCCAACTCCGTCACCGTCACCTTCCGCGAGGCCCAGGCCGCCGAGGGCTTCTTCCGGGACCGCGGCGGAGGCGGCGGCGGCGGGAAGTGCTGAACCCCCCTTTTTTTGGTTTTTGTTTTGGTTTTGTTTTGTTTTGTTTTTTACTCTTCCTAAACTATCTGCTTTGGGGCTGGGGGGTTGGACTTCGGAGACGGGAGCGGATGGATGGGGGCAGGTGAATTATCTTGTTGAAGACCCTGGGACAGGCGGATGGGGAGCCCTGTCCCCTCGCGCGCGCGCACGTGCGCCCCCGTCTGCCCCCCTGTGTGAGTGTCGTTTACAGAGTGGCCCGGGGTGGGCACCTGCCACTCGGGGTGTCAGAGGGGCAGCGCGGGGTCAGGGTCACCACCTGGCCCTGGGCTCGCCGAGCTTGGGGGGACCCGCCCCCCACCCCACCCCCCACAGCCCGGCCCTTTCTAGTTGCTTCTCCCTTCTCCTCTGTTTCCGGGGTGTCTTGAGTTCCGACTGCCCACTCCGGCTGGGCAGTGGGGTGCAGAGGCTGGCTCTGACCCGAAAGGACGGCTGGGGCGCGGACAGGACCGCCGGGGGTCGGACGGGGCCCCGCGGTGTCTCCTTTCCCCGCCCCCCACCGCACCAGACCCCGCCTTTGCCCTTGTGGGGAAGGGCCCGCCTCCTCGGGCACCCCCCTCGCCTCGGGCACCCCACTCACCTTGTCCATCGTGGGCTGGGGCTCCAGGCACACGTGTGCCTGGGACCCTTCTCCTGGCCTGCCAAGCTGCCCTGGCAGATGTGCCCAGGTGTGCCTTGCAGGTGCGCCCAGGTATGCCCTGCAAGTGTGCTCCCAGGTGTGCCCCGCAGACGCCTGGCGTCACTCCGTCCTTCCTCCCCAGGGGCTCTGTTCTCAGGTGACTTCAGCCCCCCTCCCGCCCTCCAGGGCCCCCAGAGCAGCTGTGGACCGGAGGGGCCGCGCTCAGGGCACACGCGACTCCTGTCCCCCCCTCCCCTCCTTGCTCCTGATTTCCGGGAACTGCTGCCTGCCGGGCAGGACCCTCTTTCTGATTTGCACACCTGCCCCTGGACTCTCCCCTGTGTCGCCCTGGAGGGGGAAGGCCTTGGGGGGGCCTCCGGGATCAGATCACATGGGGGGGGCGCTGTGTGGGAGCCTGCGAGCTCTGCCTCTCCCCGGGGCTCTCTCCCACTCTGCAGCAGCCTGAGGAAGGGTGGAAGACCCCCCCCACCCCGACCCCCCACACCCCAAACCAAAGACAGCCTGCACCCTGTTCCTGCTCGGGGTGTGCCGCTGGCTGGACCCCTTCTCCCTGCCCCCTTCCCTCTCCCTGAGCTGTCCAGGTCAATTCAGCGCTTCCATTAGGGATGGACACCCCAGCCAAGGGCGTATTGGCGGGGAGGAACCCACCTGTCCGTGTGGGGCCCCGGGGAAGGGTGGGGGCCCCTCCAGGATGCGGGCGCTCCCGGAGGCCTGGGGCTCTGGGCCCTACCCGGTTCCTGGGACTCCCGCTGCGGGGTTTGCAGGTGGAGTTTGCAGGGGGGGCGGCTCATTCCCTGTGGGCCCCTTTGGCCTCTCGGCCCAACCCTCCGGCCCCCACTGCCCCGGCCCTGGAGCTGCTCCGAGTCAAGGGCTGTGAGGGTCTTTCCTGCCCAGGGGGAGGCGGGGGACCCTGGGCCAGCATCCCTGGGGGGCCACGGATCCCCCCACCCCACAGCACCCCCAGAAGGCCAGTACTCTCGGGGTGGGGGGCTTTAGAGTGGCCAGCCTCCCCCCCCCAGCCCCCATCCGATTTGAATGTAGAGGGACCGGTCGGTACTTGGGTCGGTACTTGCTGGGAAGGGGTGAGAAGGTTCTCCGGGCCCAGCGCCCTGGCCCCTGGCCCCTGGCCCCAGGCCGAGCTGGGGGCCGCGGCCCCTGCTGCCAACTTCCTCCTCCCGCCGGGAGGGGGCGCCGCGCTGGGTCGGCGCTGCGGGCCGGTGGGCGCTTCCTTTGCACAGAAGAGCGTCAGCTTCGTCCAGACGAAATGAATGTAGGGGGCGGGCGGGCGGGCGGGCCGGCGAGCGGGCTGGTGCGGAGCGCGGGTTTATTTTTGTACTGATATTGGTAAGAGACTGTATAGCATCTATTTATTTAGATGATTTATCGGCAAATGGGCAACATTATTAAAAAAAATCATTAAAGATAATTTTAAACAAGCTCGTGGGCACGCAGTCGTTCCTTCCTGCGGCCTCGGCGGTGGTGCCCCCGCCTGCGGGGCGCTGGCCTGGAACCAGGGAACACGCGGCTTTCTGAACACCCTCCCATCGTGCTCCCCCCCCCAGTTCAGTGACTGATTTGGGCGGAAGCCGTCCAGGTTGTGGGGCTCACACCCCCTGGGTTCAGGGACGGGGACCCCAAAAGGCAGAGCTACTGGGACAGCCCACGCGGTGCCACACAGGCTATAGCGCCAGACCCGAGCCCACCCAACCCGTGACTCCTTGAAGTGGGCAGAGCAGGGTGGGGCTCATGCAATGGAGGAACATTAGGATGGGGGTGGAGGGGTGCATGCTTTGTACTTGTCCGCGGGGGTTCAACCCTTGGAACTCCATATGGACCCCCCCAGCCTCTCCAGGAGTGACCCCTGAATGCAGTGGCGAAGGGTGACAGGTGCCTCACCCCAGCAGTCAGGGAGGGGGGGGTCCATGACATGTCCCACACCAAGCTCAGCGGTCAGGAGCAGGCGGGAGGGGGGTTCTCAGGCCAGGCCCCTGGGGTGGGCAGTGGGTGGACTGTGCAGGGATAGCCCCTAAATGATGCCCCCTGTGGAGCCCCTTACAGAGGAGTGGCGCCCACTTGGGGACTCCTGGCCAGGGTCACTGACCCCCCCAACTGGCTACAGCAAACCCCAGAGGATGCACCCCACTACCCTGGAATCGGGGGTCTGAGGTCGGGCTTTGCATTCTTCCCCCAAGCTGCTCAGTCTCCAGGGTTCCAGGCCCTTCCCTGGGTGGGGACCTCAGCACCCAGTTCTGGGGAGCCCCCGTCCACCCCTGATCTGTCCCCTGCCCCTCCCATGGCTCCTGGGTGTTGTCTCAGCCCCGTTCGGGGGAGGCAGTCAGGTGGCTGAGAAGGGCCATCGTGCCTCCCAAGCCCCCTTCCTGGATTTCCAGAACATTCTAGAAAGCTTCAGTAGGAGCTTCTCTGCAGGGGAGCACCCTACCCCCATCACCCTCCAAGCTGTCCCCCCCCATTCCCTCCACATCAGATCCTCACCCAGCAGCTCTGAGGACCCCTCTTCTGGAACATTATCTGAGGAGCTCCACAACTTCTCATGCACATCCCCTGATTCTGACTGCTCCCAGGCCTTTTTGTCCCCCACCCTGGTCACCCCTCTGCGCACTGCCCTAGGCTCACCTGTGCATGGTGGAAAGATGGAGTGCTTCAGAGAAGGGAGGGACCCTGCAACTGAAGGGCCCACACTTCCACCTAGAGTCAGTGTCTGGGGGCTTGGGGGCGCATAAGGGTGAGGCCAGGCTGGTACTCTCGTGCCCTGATTCCATGCACACCTGGATTCGATCCCCGGCATCCCAGATGGTCCTCTGAGCACCGCCAGGGATAATCCTGGAATTCAGAGCCAGGAGTAACCCCTGAACATCACCAGGTGTGGCCCCCAAACCCCCCCCCCAAAAAAAAACAACAAAACAAAAACAGGAGCAATAGCACAGCGGGGAGGGTGTTTGCCTTGCATGTGGCCGACCTAGGTTCCATCCCTGGCATCCCCTAGGGTCCCCTGAGCACCCCCCAGGAGTACTTCCTGAGTGCAGAGCCAGGAGTGACCCAAAAAGCAAAAAAACCAGAACAAAACAAAACAAAAAGCCAAAACCAGGTATGTCCACACTGATTTCAAAGCCAACAGCCTTCAAACTAAAGGAGGTAATTAAGGCAGGGAGGCCCTTGCCTGCTGCACTACGGACCTGGTCACTGCGCTGGGCATAACAGGTGCTGGAGGTAGGTAGTCCCAGGTGGGCGCCCCGGGCTGAGGGGAGGGGGTGGGACACGGGCCCTGAGCATGACCCCTCTCCAACTTCATCAAGGAACGTTTTTGGACAGAGCCGTCTCGGGGCCAGGGTGCCCTTGCGGTGGGGAGCGGGGTCCCTGCGCTGACCGGGATGGGGCCTTGGCTTCCCACCCCTACGTGGTCTTTGCACCCGAATTGATTTCACATTTTTCTCAGACCTGCAACCTCCTTCTCCCTGCGGGGATCAGCTCAGAAAGAGAACTAGCTTCCATCCCTGCAGGGGGTCCAGAGGGGGCCTCCTGCAGCCACAGGCTGGCTCCAGCAGAGGGCGCTGCAGCCCGGCCTCCCTCTGGGCTGGGACCCCCCCCACACACACACACTTTCTAGAGGGTGGGTCGCATCTGCAGCCCTATCTCAGGGCATCTGTCCCAGGGAGCCACAGGAGTGACAAATGTGGGATTTCAGGCACAGCTGAGCCTGGGAAATAGGTCCAGCCAGCACCCCGGGGAGGAACAACGCACCAGGGTGACAAAGGGAAACCTCCCCTGACACCCCCAGGCCCAGTCGGAGTCCCACTCGGCCTCACGCCGAGGTCCCCCTTCTCTGCTTGTTTTCCAGGCCCTGACGCCAGGCCCCTCCACCCGAAAGCCAGGGAGGGAAACAGGCGTCTCCAAGGTCTCCGGGCTGAGGTGGGTTCCACAGTGGAGGAGGACGCCCCCTCCTGACCTCTGAGGCAGGCCCCAAGCGAGCACAACACCCCGTGTCCCCAGATCCACCCAGGGGCCACCCTCCCCAGCACCCCGTCTCCCCAGGCAGGCTTGTCCCCCCCTCCTCCCAGGGGACCTTCTACCTTCACCCCTCACCCCAGTGCCTCGCTCCCCAACCCCTAAGCCCCCCTGGGGGGAAGTGCCCGATTCCCAGGCCTGGCACAAGATGGGGTGACGTGGCCACAATGGGGAGCAGGGTGGACACCTGGACTAGTCCCCAGCCTGGCACCAGATGGGGGCCCCGGCCTGGGGGTGCTGGAACCTTCTCTGGGTCATCTGTTTTTCCTCACTGTGCAGACAAGTGGGGTTCAGTGTGTATGTGTGTGTGTGTGTGTGCGCGCGTGTGTGCGTGTGTGCGTGTGTGTGTTTGCGCGCGTGTGTGAACCCAAGGACCTTGCTGGGGTGCCCCTGGGGTCTGGCTCAGGTGGTCTGCGTGCAGGTCGGGACCAGAGGAGACTTGGCAGGGGGCAAGACAGGGGGTCTGGCCTCTGCTCAGGCCCAGAGACCAGCCCCAGGAGGTTCCTGTAACGACGTTGTCCGCTGGAGGTGCACTGGGTCCCTTTGGGTCTGCGCGGGGCAGGGCGGGACTTAACTGTCCTGTCCTGGCGGCGCAGGTCCACACTGGGTGTCGCCCCGAGACTCCCGCCTGGGCTGGGGCGGTGCGGGTCCCGTGGTGCAGAGGGCGCCCCCGGTTCACCCCCACCACGCCTGTGCTCCGGAGGGCGGGGCGCCTGCCCGCTTCTCTGCAGCCGATCACGGGGCGCCCCGGTTCTTCCTGGGACGGCTCTGTTGGGCCGGGCTGGGGTGCAGGGGGCGGGGCCCGAGGGAAGAGGCGGCGGAAAAGGGGGTGCGGCCCCGGCCCAGCGCGGGAAATTCAGTTTCTGTTCAAGGCTTTCCTGAAACAGCCAAGCTGCCAGGAGGGGCTGCGGACCACTCCCACGATCGCTCCAGCAGGTACTGCCGCCGGCCCCAGCACCCCGCAGCGTCCCGTCTCCTTGCAGGACCCGCTCCTCTCCTGGGACTTGGTTCCGTTCTGGAGACACCCTTCCTGTTGCGGCTGAGTGGCACCTCCTGGCGCCCCCCTACCAACCCCCCCTCCGTGCCCGCGAATCCCCTGACCCTCAATCGGGCGGGGTGTGGGCTGGGACCCCGTCCCTGGCTGCATCCGGCCTGCATGCGCTCTGCTCTGTCCTGCTTGGAATTTGACGGAAGCGGATGCGGGAGACCGCGGGGAGGACAGCTTTGGGAGGGAGGAAGAGATGGGGAGATGGACCCGCTCACGGAGGCCTCCGGGTAGCCCTGATGTGGCAGCCCCCCCCCCCCCACCTTGAGACCAGCTTCCCTTCTGCTGCGAGCCCCCAGGCACTGCAGGGCAGACTGAGGTGCTGAGAGATGGGGTGTACTGGGGGGGCCTGGCGGTGACTCCCCTCCATCACCTGTTGCCCATAGTGGCCCCAACTTCTCAGCCATGCTGAAAAGGCCCCCCAAAATAAATAGGTCAGTCAACGTATCAATAAGATTGGGGCTGGGGCTGGAGCGATAGCTCAGCGGGGAGGGCGTTTGCCTTGCACGAGGCCGACCCGAGTTCGATTCCCAGCATCCCATATGGGCCCCTGAGCACCACCAGGAGTAATTCCTGAGTGCAGAGCCAGGAGTAACCCCTGAGTATCGCCGGGTGTGATCCAAAAAGCAAAAAAAAAAAAAAAAAAAAGATTGGGGTTGGAAGGAAGCCGTGCCCAGGAACCCCCAAAACAGCCAGACCCTCACTTGCCAATTCTGAGACTCTGGCTCTGCTCTCTGCCCCACGTGGCCTCTGTTAAACAGGGTCAGGGGCACCCACAAAACAAGGGGCACTGGGGCTGGAGCGATAGCACAGCAGGTAGGGTGTTTGCCTTGCACGTGGCCGACACCTGTTAGATTCCCAGCATCCTGTATGGTCCCCTGAGCACCGCCAGGAGTAATTCCTGAGTGCATGAGCCAGGAGTAACCCCTGTGCATCACCGGGTATTACCCAAAAAGCAAAAAAACAAAAACATAAGAGGGGCACTGAGGAGGGCGTCACCCCGGCCTGTCACCCCCAGGGAGTGCTCTGGGCACTCGATTTTCTCTTCTTTCGCCCCCAGATACCCAATGAGGCAGCTGGAGAGGGATGACTTCTGCTTCTGGAGCTCCCTCCTGGCCCCTGGCCTGGGCTTTGGGGTGCTGTGCGGCCTGGTGGAGCAGCTGCAGCTGGGCACCGTGGTCATCTCTTTCACTCGGGTCTTTAGAAGCCAGGTACGGACAGCAGGCACCAGCTCAGGATGCTGATGGGCACCCCCGAAGGAGGGGCCACCTCAGCCCCCCACTTTCCCCAAGCCTGCCCCTGTGGCATCTCCCCATTCCTTGACGTCTAATGACTGTGGGGAAAGAGCCTATTTAGGGACCGGAGCGATAGCCCAGCAGGGAGCGCGTTTGCAACGAGATTGACCCAGATTCCATCCCGGCATCCCATAGGGTTCTCCAAGCACGGCCAGGGGTGATTCCTGAGTGCAGAGCCAGGTGTAGCCCCTGAGCATTGTCGGTTGTGACCTCTCCCCGAGAAAAACCACCAATAGGGCTGGAGAGATAGCACAGTGGGTAGGGCGTTTGCCTTGCACACGGCCAACCCGGGTTCGAATCCCAGCATCCCATATGGTCCCCTGAGCACCGCCAGGAGTAACTCCTGAGTGCAGAGCCAGGAGTAACCCCTGTGCATCGCCAGGTGTGACCCAAAAAGCAAAAAAACAAAAAAAAAAAACCCCACCAAAATAAAATAAAAATAAATCTGTTTAGAAAGATGGGGGGAGGCTGGGGAGGGGGTCTAACAGCGCCAGGGAGATGGTCCAGCAGGAAGTGTTCTTGCTTCACATGCGGGCAACCCGGGTTCAATCCCCAGCACTACACAGAGATCCCCGGGCCCACCAGGAGTGACCCCAGAGTGCAGAGATAGGAGTAAGCCCTGAGCATCTCTGGGTGTGATGCCCCATACTGCACACGTACTCCCAAAATAGTAGAAGGTGCAGGAGATAGTGCAGTGGTTAGAGCAAGAACCTCACACCCTCCGGGTCCAGCTTGAGTCCCTGCCACTACACAATGGCACAGCATCTCGGACCCTGGCCTGGAGCAGCCGGCTCGGTCGGGTAATGTGGCTGATGTATTACCCAGAGCCCCCCCACAAAGCACCCCCTAAAAAAAGGAAAAAAAAGATGTAGGAGCCCGGCCACGTGAACATGAGGCTGAGTGTTCGATTCCCGGCGTGCCCACATGCTGAAAGAGCACCCAGGGGTGCTGCTGCCTTTGGGACCCCAGGGCCACCCTGAGAGTCTGAGGGCTCATCCAGGGCCCTGCCGCGTTCCCCTCATCCCTCTGTCCAGCCTGCCCGCTCGCCGTCCTGACCCCACGCGCCCCTCTCCGCCCCCTCTCTCCCTCCCAGCCTGACTGGCACGTGGAACTCGACTTCCTTCACTGGCTCCGGTCCCTGGAGACCCCCGACGATGACTTCCTGGTCACCTGCTTCGTCTCCTGGAGCCCCTGTCCCCGCTGCGCGGAGGAGGTGGGCGCGTTCCTGGGGGCCCGCCACAATGTGAGGCTGCGCATGCTAGCCGCCCGCCTCCCTTGGGACCCCCAATACCGCGAGGCCCTTGGCCGGCTGCACCGGCAGGGGGTCCTGGTGGACGTCATGTCCTGGGAAGGTGAGAGTGGGCTGTGGGGGGCCCCCGCAGCCTGGGTTCCGGGGAGAGCCATCCTGCTCAGCACCCGTGGCCTCTCGCTTGCTCGCAGACTTTGACTGGTGCTGGGAACTCTTCGTCCGCCGGGCAGGAACAGCCTTTGAACCCTGGTGGGGTCCAGGCGGGAATCGCGGGCTCCTGCTTGGGAAACTGCAGGACATTCTGGGGTGAGGTCCCCTCCCTGACCCTCTGCTCAGTCCCCTGCCCCCGCCCGAACCCCGCTCCTTCCGTCCTGTCTCATGAGCCATAGATGACCCTAGACAGGGGAGACTGGAGGGCTGTGACTGGGACACCCCAGCACCTGCGTCCCCCCCAACCCGAGAAGGTGAGGGACAGAGCCTGCTGCAACCCCCCCTGCACCCCCAGACCCTTGACACCAGGTCCCGGGAACCAGCCCACACTCGTCACTGTGGGACACGGGAGCACAGACCCTCCCACTCCTGACCTCTGGGCGTCGGCTCCCTTGGGTGACACCTGGTCACTTGTCACCTGATCTGTGGCACTTGTCACTTGCCTCCTGACCTCCCTTCCGACAGTCGGCTTCGATGTGCCCAGAGAGGGCCCGAGCCACCCGGAAATGGGCGTAGAAAGTGTGCCCGTGCTGCGGGTGTGGCGTCAGGCTGGTCAGATTCCAGAGATGACCTGGCGTGTTCCTCAATCCAAGGGCTGGGTGCCATGTGAAGCTCGGGGGCCCCTGGTCGAGTGCCCCAGACAGGCTGAGCCCCAGAGCATGGCGGCAGATCCCAGGGACAGGTACCCTCCACCCCTCAGCCGTACCCCCATTCCTGCCAGACCGGGCTCTTGCTGCCTCCTCCTCTCTCCTCCGGTTCCTGCTGGTGTCGCCTGACCCCTCACCGATGCCAGTGTCCTGTGAGCTGAACCCCAGATCCGGGCAGGGCCCCCAACACCCTCCCAGAAGACCCAGAGCGCTCTTTCCCTCTTTGGGCTGTTTCCGCTCGGGGGTGGCATGTCCAGAGCTGGGGAGGGAAACGGGGGGGGGGGCGTATGGCTGCGGCTCGTTTCCGGCAGGGGGGCCGGGCCATGTGGGCCCTAAGGAGAGAGAGAGACAAGCCTTCAGGGTGTCCTTACCCCTGGGGGGCCCCAGATAACGGGGCGGCTGATGGCAGGCAGAGGTGAGCTGGCCACCTCGCCCGTGAGGCTGGGTCTAGAGCTGAGCCCGCTCCCTGGAGGCTGCCCAGCTGAGCTTGCTCCCAGAGTGCTGCAGAGGCCGGCGGGCCCACAGCCCCGGGGCAGTTCTTGAGTGTCTAAGGCCTGGCAGTGCGGGCGTGGGCTGGGCCGGCCCCCCGAGGACGAGGCCCGAAGTTTCTCCCGGCACGCAGGACCCGGATGAAAATAAACACCTTCATGGAGCACTTCGACAACAGCCCCAGCAACTCTATTCACGCGACGCTCCTGTGCTACGAGGTGCAGGGCGCGGGGGACCACATCCCCAAGAGCGAGAGGAGGGGCTTCCTGCTGAACCGGGTAAGACCCCCACCCACAGGTGGAACCTGTTCCACCCTTCCCCCAAGGTGGAGGGGAGGGAGACGCAGGGAACCCAGCAGGGTCCGAACCCCTGCCTAGAAGGTCCCCTCTCCCCAGCCCCCTCGCCTCCTGCCCAGGGTCTCCATGCCGTGGCCCAGTCTAGGGTGACCCCATGACCCCATGACCCTGAGCACTGAGCACTGAGCCCCTCCCGGGCACTAACTCAGGACCCTCCTCGAATCGGGAGAGACACAATGAAACTAGGGTCCCGGAGACAGTTTGGTGGTTCCCTCCCTGGCCCCTGCTGACCCCTCCTGGCTGGGGTGGCCTGGAGACCCCAGCAGCACCCTCGGACCTGATACAGAGCCACAGGCCCAGTGCTGAGAGTCCTGGGAGGGCCCTGGACCCCCAATGTCACTTGAGCCCCCCATGAAACTCAACACAAACTCCCTGATGAAGGAAATGTGCCCGTGTGTGTGTGTGAGTGTGTGTGTGTGTGTGTATGTGTGTGTGTTTGTGGGGATCCCCTTGGAACCCAAGTTCTCAGGTGCCGGCCCAGGGATACGTAGCCCCTTATTCCTGTGAGGGCTCCTGGACCCCAATCCCCCCCCAGTCTCCCTCCCCCCACTGAGGTCGCTCCTCCTCGCCCCTCCATTGTTGGCCCAGCGGCCCCTCAAGCCCTGCTCACGGTCTGCGCCTGCGCCAGGGTCGCAACACGGACCACCCCGCCCATGCAGAGGTGGTTCTCCTGGAAAGGGTCTGGGCCTGGGCGCTGGCCCCCGAGCTGCCCTGCAGCGTCACCTGCTACATCTCCTGGAGCCCCTGTGTCGAGTGCGTCAGGGAGCTGGTGCAGTTCCTGGGCCAGCACCGCGGCGTGGAGTTGAGCATCCGGGCCGCCCGCATCTATTCCCTGCCCGGGTACCAGGAGGGGCTGCGCACCCTGCGGGACGCTGGGGTCCACGTCTCCATCATGACCAGAGCAGGTTCGCACGGGTCCGTGGCAGGAGGCAGGGGGGTGGCGCCCTGTCCCTTGTCTGCAGAGAGGAAAGGAGCCCCCCTGTGACCCTCGAGTCCACTGGAAGAGACGGGGCCTCTACTGCTCCGCGGGAGGGTCCCAGGGGAGGCCAGCGAGGGCGGGTCTCAGTCTGGGGGGGCGCAGAGAAGAGGCCTGGGCGTTCAGGCATCAGCACCTGTGGCCCCTGCCCTCGCCCACCTCCTGCTGACCCGCAGACTTCGAGCACTGCTGGGCCACCTTCGTGCAGAGTGACGGGCAGCCCTTCGCCCCGCCCCCCAACCTGGAAGATGTCAGCAAGGATCTTGCCATGGAGCTGGAGCACATTTTGCAGGTGGGGGTCCCTCTGCCTCCCCTCCCCTCCCCACTGGCCCCTCCCCTCTCCTCCCAATCAGAGCCCTCTGCCTCCTGGGATACCCGCTCCCCTCCTCCCCCCTCTGAAGTTCCCCCCCACACCCCGCGGCCTGTCCTTCCTCCCACGGGCTCTCCCTCCTTCCCCTGCTCCCTTTCCCCAGGCTCAGGAAGGCGCAGGGTGACCCTCGGGTTCCTGGAGACTTGAAGGGGCAGCTGAGATGCAGCTTCTTCCGGACTTGCAGGTCCCTGGTGGCCACCTCGTATCGGGAGAGACAGAATGAAACCTGGGTCCGGGAAACAGTTTTGTGGTTCCCTCCCTGGCCCCTGCTGGCGCCTGCTGGCCAGGGTGGCCTGGAGACCCCAGCAGCACCCTCGGGCCTGATGCAGAGCTATGGACCCAGTGCTGAGAGTCCTGGGAGGGCCCTGGACCCCCCAATGTCACTTGAGCCCGTCCATGAAACTCAACACAAACTCCCTGATGAAGGAAATGTGCCCGTGTGTGTGTGTGTGTGTGTGTGTGTGTGTGTGAGCATCCCTACTCTGGTCCAGGAACTGGAATAAAGCTTCTTGCTCTTTGAAGCGCATTCTGTCGGCTTACTCTGGCCCGGCCAGAGGAGATTCTGCCCCGGCAGAAGGCCGCTGGTGTTCAAATTTTTCTGACCCAACAGAGAAAATCAAAACATTGACCCCCCTCTGGCCAACCTAGTCCAAAGGCCCCTGAATCAGGGGACTGGCAGGGCCATTTAGGTGACAGGACACTCCCCCCCTCTCCCGAAAACACACGCACATACACTTCCCATCCCCCAGGAAGAGAAAGGAGAGAGGACAGGGGTGGCAGAAGGTTCTGCAAAGGGCCCTATCTGCACACTGTGGCGAATCCAGCTGCTTGCCCTGGAGAGGTGCCCAGGGATGGGGTCCCCTGTGCCCAGCTGGCGGCGGCGTCCTGCAGAGTCTCACGGTCCCTCTACAGACTTCTCCCGACCCCACACTCTGAGTGACAGTGTGGGCTGGGCGGTTTCACCGGAGACGTTTTTGGAGGGAAACGGGTGAGGGGGCAACAGGGGTCACAGGACTGACCCGTGGGGGCTGGCACCCCGGTGGGGAGGAGCTGACGCCCCCAGCACCCTGGGACCGGGCAGGGTCAGGGAGGCCCCACGGGGATGCTGGGAGGAGGGGCTGGAAGGGAAGGTGGCAGCCAGGGAGAATATTCTGGAGGTTTGGGGGTGTTTTTGCTTCACATTTTGGGGTCACACCCAGCGATGCTCGGGGAATGCTACTGACTATGCACTCAGGGATCACTCCTGGCAGTTTTTTTTTTGTTTGTTTGTTTTGTTTTGTTTTTCATTTTTTTTTATTAGTGAAACGCCATGAGGTACAGTAGTAGATTTACAATTTTTTGTGCTTGGGTTTCGATTATACAATGATCAAATACCCATCCCTCCATCAGTGCCCACTTTCCACCACCATGGATAACATCCCTCCCACCCCCACCCCTGCTCCTGGCAGTTCTTGAGGATCCTATGGGATGTCGGGGATCAAATCCAGTCAGTCACATGCAAGGCAAATGCCCTCCCCGCTGTACTCTTTCCGGCCCTTTTCTGGAAATTTAAATGTTCCTCTCGGGGTGGGGGCTCCCCAGACTCAGACTCCAGCGCCCCCAGCCCTCACCCTAGGGACCCCTGCACTGGGTCATCTTTTCAGGGGGTATGAAAGAAGAGGAGGGACTGAGCTATAACACAGCGGGGAGGGCATTTACCTTGCACGTGGCCAACCTGGATTCAATCTCCGGCATCCCATATGGTCCTCTGAGCACCGCCAGGAGTGATTCCTGAGTGCAGAGCCAGGAGGAACCCCTGAGCATCGCCGGGCATAACCCAGAAAGGAGAAAACAAAAGAAAGAAGAGGACTTGGCATTCTCAGGCCTCAGAGTTTTCCTCTGAGGAAAAATCAAGAAGAGTCAAGAAAAAAGCTGACACCCAAAAACCATGAAAGATGATCCCACAAATAGGTAAAGATCAGCACCAGCCCAGCAGTGTCAGTCACGTGGGGTTTTATTTGTATTTTAATTTGTTTTAATTTGTTTTTGTTTGGGGGCACTACTCCTGGTTTGGGGGCTTAGGAATTGCTCCCAGTGTTAGGGCTTGGAGTCGACCACCTCTCAAGGACAGGGAACAGAGCCGATAATACAAATCACATAGTGAGGTTTATTGTTCCAGCTAGCTAGGGTCCAAGTATCCGCCTGGCACAGCGGGTTTCAACAAGGACCTTGAGCACTAGATTCAGCAAGTTCTTATACTTTCATTTAGCAAGCAGGCATGACTCAGCAATTTTCTTTTCTCTTTTCTCCTTTTTATCGATTCACTGTGAGGTACAGTAACAGAGTTTCATGTTCGAGATTCAATCATACAATCATCAAACACCCATCCCTTCACCAGTGCACATTTTCCACCACCAAAATCCCCAGGATCCCCCCCACCCACCCATTCCACACCTCCCCCTGCCTGTGTGGCAGACAATTTGCACAATACTTTCTCTACTTTGGTTACCTTCGATATTTGAGTCCAGTCCCACTGCCGCTCATACCTGCCCAAAAGGCAATGCTAGACAATGTGTTTTGTATTGCATGTAGTGGATACAATATAATGTTGCACAGCCCAAGACACAGTCACACTTACACACACACACTCACATACACACTCTCACACACACACAAATACACTCACAACCCAACTCCCCAACTCCGTGCACCCCTGTTATACGTAAAGTGGAGGAGAGGGGCGGGCCCTGAAGAGCTGGGGTGTATTTCCATCAGCTTCCCCAAATTAACCACATCCCCCACGCTCCTGGATGTGGTCCCCGCGGCGCACCTCATGCCACTCCCGGTGATGTGCGGTCCAGGTGGGATTCAAACCTTCCCTGCCCGGCCTCTAAGACGCGGTCAGCAGGTGAGTCCCGGCTCCGCCCAACTCCGGGCAGATGCCTTCACCGATGGGTCTGCGCGTGCGCGCCAGTAAGGGGGCGGGACTAATTTCCGGGTACCCTGATTCAGTATTCGCTCTCAGGAGCGGGCTTTGAGGTCGCGGGGGGCTTCGCGGGGGTCCAGCGTTCCAGAGTGCGGGGGTGCCAACAGGAGGGCACGGCACAGGATCTACCCTCCGCGACGGGCAGCGTCCTCTTCCGGGGCTCCCCGGTGGCCGATCTGGAATCTGGGCGCCCTCCCCCCCAAAGTCTTTCCTCCCCCTGGCCTCTGTGTTTCCGCTATTCTCTCGCTGGGAGGAGGGACCCTCCCTAAGGAAGGCGCCAGAAACCCAGCGGTGGAATCCAGAAGGTGACTCAAGGCTGGCCCAGTTCCATGCCCAAATCCAGACAGCATTTCAGAGGTGCTAGGGGGACCCTGCCCCCCAACCCCTACCCCTGCGCCGTTTTCATTCCGTCACAACAACCCGGCAATATTGGGGGCATTCCATCGTCCCCACCTTTGCATAGGAGTAAGCTGTTGCTTTTTTTTTCCTTTTTGGGTCACACCCGGCAATGCACAGAGGTTACTCCTGGCTCTGCACTCAGGAATTACTCCTGGCGGTGCTCAGGGGACCCTATGGGATGCTGTGGATCGAACCGGGGTCGGCCGCATGCAAGGCAAACAAACACCCTCCCCGCTGTGCTATCGCTCCAGCCCCTTTTCTTTTCTTTCTTTTTTCTTTTTGTTTGTTTGAAGTTGCTGCTTTTTAATCATCATCTAATCAGCTGGTATGATTACAGTAACAGTGCAAGACACTTTGATCTGCCAGGATCTTTTACATCACTACACAAAACAGTCAGCCGATGGCCTATAACAGCCACAGATGTTCCAAAGAAAATACGCGTGATGAGGAAGCCAGTTTCTCCCTGCCTCCTTCCTCCTCTCTCCTTCCTCCTTCCTTCATCCCTCCTTCTCCCTCCTTCTTTCCTCTTCATTCTCCTCCCTTTTCCCCTCTCTGATCTTTCTTCTTTTCTTTCTTCCATTACTATTTTTTTCTGTTTTTAGGCCACACCAAGCAGGTACTTAGGTCTTACTACTTGCTCTGCTCTGAGGGATCCCTCCTGGCGGTACTTAGGGAACCGTAGGGGGTTCAAACGCAGGTCAGCCACGCCCGACCCGGTGTAGTATTGCTCCGCCCTCTCCCTGCTTTGCAGTGCTGGCCATGAACCCTGGGACTCGCGCCTGCAAAGCAAGTGCTTTACCGCCGAGCGCTCCCAAAACCAAATTCCACCCTTAACTCTGCGCACCCTTAACTCCCCCAAACAAATTCCACCATCAACTCTCCTAGTCGCGGAGTTGCTCCGTGTCCCATTGCTCCAGTTATCCTTGTTATGAGGAAATAGTCCGACTGGACAGTCACACCCCTTGTGAAAACAGAGACAAGTGGGTTGACAAATTCCTGGAAGAAAGCCAATGATGATGACTGGGCAAGACAAAACGAGCCCAAATCTGAACATTAGAAATGAGAGTTGGTTGGAAGCCGGCCTCACACGCTGGGGGGAAAGGCAGCTCAGATAGAGAAGGGACCACCAAGTAAAGGGTGCTTGGAGGGCCCGCTTGGGATGAGAGATGCGTGCTGAAAGTAGACTATAGACCGAACCTGATGGCCACTTAATACCCGCATTGCAAACCATAACACCCAAAAGGAGAGAGAGGGTGGGGGCGGAGAGGGATACTGGGACATCGGTGGTGGAGAATGAGCACTGGTGGAGGGATGGGTACTCGATCATTGTATGACTGAAAAGTAAACACGAAAGCTTATAAGTCTGTAACTGTACCTCAGTGATTCAGTAAAAAAATGTAAATAAATAAATAAACACCTGACCGCTTCCAGAAGCCATATGGGTCCACTGAGCACAAAGCAAAGTCCCCATCCACGGTACTATTGCTCCAGTCCTGCATAATTAAAAAAAATTCTCATGGTTTGGTTCTGTTAAAATATTTTATAGTAAAAAAGAAAAGAAAAGGACTGGAGAGATAGCACAGTGGGTAGGGTGTTTGCCTTGCACGTGGCCAACCCGGGTTCGATTCCCAGCATCCCATATGGTCCCCCAAGCACCGCCAGGAGTGATTCCTGAGTGCAGAGCCAGGAGTAACTCCTGAGCATCGCCAGGTGTGACCCAAAAAGAAAAAAAAGGCCAGAAAAATAGTACAGGGGCTGGA